ACTTCCTTGAGAGTGGAGCAGTGTCTTCCAGAAAGTACGCAGTCAGGAAAGTGAGAGAGAGATTGAAGGAGTATTGTGGGCTTGCCAGAACCAAGAGACCACACAGGAAAGGGGGCCTAAATGCTGAAAAGACATGTCAAAGGTGGGAGATGGGAGGACCCGGCTTTATGGGAAAAGTGTCACTGAGCATATTTGCTTGAAAGCAAATCCTCATCTCGTAGCACATTTGTCCCCAGAATTCGCCCAGCATCAAGCCAACGTTTATCAGTTCTTACAACATGCCAGGCATTTCCCATGCACTATTCTGTTAAATTTTTACAACAAACCTGCAAGGAAGTGGTACCATAGGGCAGAGGAAGAATCGGAAGCTCAGAAAGGTTAAGAAATGCACCCAAAGTCACAAAGGCAGTTGGAGATAGAGCAGGGGTCTCCAACCTAGGTCTTCTAGCTCCTAATCATAGCCAGCTGCATGGGTGGTCTCTTGCATTTGAGCCTCAAGGGTCTGGGAAACATTAGAAACTAGGGAGAGTTGCAGGGGCATCTGTTTGGCCCCTAGAGGAGAAACTCGAGGCTATCTGCATTAAAATCTTACAGCCTGAAGGTTAGCTCTGTACCCCCATCACACCTCCTGGAGTTGTTACTGTTGTTATTATTATTATTTGTCAGTCCAGCCTTGCTGCAGAGCACGTGGAGAGGGCCAGGAGGGCAGGTAATGCCATTGCTAACCTGACCCCTGCACAGACTCCCACTGACTTTCTGTGCCTCCACTGAAATAATAATAAGTAGCTTTTATTGAGCACCTTCTGTGTGACAAACACTGATTTTAGGCACTTTCATTAATCCCTGAAAAAGTAGGTATTCTTTTTTTTTTTTTTGGTATTCTTATTTTATGCTTGAAGGGACTGAGAGAGAGCAAGTAACTTGCCCAGGATCACACAGAAATTTTTGCCACAGTTGGGAATTCCAGTTCAGGACTGGCTGCTTTCAGTGCTTCTTGCAAATGTTTAAGTTCTGCACACATGCTGGTTGCTTCCAGGAAGGGACGAGAAAGGCAAATATGAAGAGTGGTTAGGGTTAATTCTAATTCCTTGTCCTCTTGCCTCCAAGGCACCAATGCCACAGCTTCCCTGCCAGCTGTCCTACAAAGAAATTGTTTTGGCTGTCCAGGTTTCCTCCATAAACTGGAGCAGCATCTGGTCCTCAAAGAGCCAGGCATTCCAGGAGCCCATAACCAAGGGTCTGGATGACTCCTGGTTTGAGCGACCAGCTGGCACCAACTCCCCTTGGAGCATCTGTGGGCAAAGTCTGATCTGCAGACCAGTTATTCATTTGTCCAAATTAGGAGACTGAGGAAAACGGTTCTGTTTACAGGCCCCGGAGATGATCTGAATCCCAAGTCTGCACCCTCTTCTTCAGTGTTCCAAGAAAGATGCTGTTTCCATCTGAGAGCCCTGCCCCCCTCTCAAGCTCATGGAATCCTGGGGAAGCCAGGGCAATGCACCTTTCCAGGCACCCACACTTGGGGGGGTGGAGGGAGTGGGAGTGGTAGTGAGCATCTCTGCTTTTGTTTACTCCACAATCCCTTCTCCAGAATACCTGATTCTATTTATTTTTATTTATTTATTTTCTTGCTGTGCCATGCAGTATGTGTGATCTTAGTTCCCCTCAGGGCTCGAACCCTTGCCCTCTGCATTGGGAGCTTGGAGTCTTAACCACTGGACCACCAGGGAAGTCCCCAGAATACCTGACTCTAAACCATACTGAGAACAGACACTTCTTTCATCAGTTTGTCAACAGAACTCATTCTTGGCAAAAACCAGATCTGACCTTATGCTCCTTATTTGTCCCTTATGAATATGTGTATATTTTGCTGCAGAAATCAAAGCTGGTTTGACTATGGGGTACTACTGCTGCTGCTGTAGGATGTTACATAACATGTAGTATACGCATCACATATTTTTTCTAAAATCCAAAACATTCTGGAGTCTGGTCCCAATGGGTTCCAGTTAAGGGCTTGTGGTCTTGTTGTTTTGTAATGCACCGTATTCAAGCAGGAAGGTCATCTCTTGCCCAGGAGGCAGATGGCTTACTTAGATTCATAAAGATAGCCTTCCCAACCCTCTGTGGTCAGACTTGGAATTCCACCTTAGAATTCCATCGCCAAGGGGTTCATTCTTTGCTGTCTTCTCTGTGAGGTGGATGAAACCAGAAGTCACTTACACCTTTCTGTGGCTTAGTCCTTTTAGATTTTTCCTCTGTGCAAAAAAGCTTGAGATGAGTACTTGTAGAGGACGACCAAGTGCTAACGGGAAGGAAGATAGAACAGGACAGAGGTCTCAGACAAACTTCGGGCTTTGGGTAGGGCAGAGGGCCTGCGGGACTGACAGGGCCGCAGGGGAGAGATCTAAACACACCGCAGAGCCAGGCCAGGCCGATGGCCGAGTTAGCCCGAACTCGCATGGTGCACCTGTTTCCGCTCTTTAGTGCACGGAGCGCAGCCATCTAGTAGCCTTCAAATTACATAAACCCGTTCCTTGGCCAGGTTCGCTGAGTGCGGTCTGGGTCTAGACCAGAGGGAGGCCTTGCATTAGCTCCGCAGCTCTCCAGCAGGGACGGCAGGTGCTAAACCCGGTGGCGGCAACGGTGCGGCTCACCGGAGGCGGCGCCGCCCAGGGAGGGACGAGCGATCGTTTTCTAACAGCGCGGTCGCGGGTCAGTGTGAGGATTGAGAGGCCCGGGGTGTCTGAGGCCGCATCTCTCCCATTTTTAGAGTTTCCTAGTTATTTACAAATGAAGAAATGCCAAAACAGGTTACACACATTTGGGTCAACTTAAAGGTGTGCGAGGACCGTGCGGTCTGGAAGCAGCCCCGCAGAAAGTCTGTGACCGCGGGGCTCTGGGCGCCTTGTGGGTGCGGCCGGGGCGCCCCCTGCTGGATGTGGCCGGCCGCGCTCCACTGCAGACTTGGAGCTGTCGGGAGCTGCCAGGGAGCTCACTCCGCCACCTGGCGGCGGCGGCGGGAACCGCAGGGGCGCGCGGACTCCGAGCCCCCGCCGAGGCCTCCCCGCGTCCGAGGCAGCAAAGGGTTAAGCTGTCAGCGGCGCGATGTTAAACAGGTGTCAAAGGCTCCCCATATATCTGCAGATTGAAATCAAATTCTTTGCCGTATAAAAAGATAAATTACCCAGGCGCTGCCGCGCGTCCCACTCATCACGCCAGCGCCAGACGGCAAGCAATTTTTTTTTTTTAATGTGCTAACGACCTAATCAAGCAATCAAGTCGGAGAAGATTGCAGAGTGACCGGGGCAGCCATCTGCCGGCAAGCCCCGCATTCATTTCCCGCGCCCCCGCGTGGGGAGCGGGCCGGGGAGGGAGCTGCCATGGGGGAAGAGGGGAAAAAATCCTAAACAAATTAACACCCAATTTTCCCTGTCTAATTAGTTAAATGAGAAGCGTTTGGGGTCCCCCGGGGAGGGGGAGCGGCTTGCGGCGCGGCTCGCTCTGCCTCCCCAGCATTAATTAGTGCGGGTCAATGCCGCGGCTCCCGAGAGAGCAGCCGCTTTAATTTCCCGTGATATTTCAGTGCTTGAGGCCCATCGATTCAAACAGAAATTAACTTATTTTTCAATCAGCCCAGGGCTGCCCCTGGGGGTGACTCTTCTTTTGCCGCCTCCTGAATAGAGCTGGAGCAATTTTTCATCAAAAGCTGAAACCTCCGCCGCCGGGGGCGGGGGAGGGGGCCCGGAGGGAAGGGCGGGGACCTGGCCGAGGTGAGGGAATGGAAATCGCCCAGGAAACTAATAGATTCTCCCCGAACCCGCCTCTGCCCTCCCCCCATCCCCCCACATCACGGGGCGCTTGGGTGGCTCGCCGCCGCCGGGGTCAGGGCCTGGAGGGGCTGTGAGGGGACCAGAGGGGGCTGGCGGGCCTGGGGCCGCGGGCCTCTCACCTGCTTGAGGGACAGTGCAGCTGTCCCTGGCTCTGGCTCCTGTCAGCTGCAGGAAGCCTCAGGAAAAATGCTTGGGGGGACCAAGAAATTCCCCCCTCCTCCATGCATGAAAGGGACCCAAGGATCTCCTCCCAAAACCAGGCTGGAGTGTTGCAGATACCCCCAGCCCACCCCATGCTCTTTCAGACCCTGCACCAGTCAGCTTTGGGGCCAGAGAAGCATCCCCTAGAGTGTCCCCTACCGCACTCTCCTAGGTCCCTACCTTCACATGCTCCTCACACCAGAAGCATTTTGTCTTCCTTCCCTGACTGAAGGATGGCTGCCCAGCTCCCCCAAATGTCATTCGGAGTTAGGTCCAAAATTGTGCACAGTGGGCGAATGGAGGACACCATGGCGGGGCAGGACTTGGCCAGGACAGGGCAGAGAAGGGAGGCTGACTCAGGCCTCTTGGGAGTGTCCCCTGCCCTGCTTTGCAGCCGTTCCCAGGCTTCCTGACACCTGGATGAAAAGCCCTGTGCTACCTGAGTCCACACTGACCTCGCCTGCCGGGACTGCTCTGGCCTCTGCAGTTCTGGTGGAGACAGAGCCCTGAACCAAAGGCACTAGAAAGGACTTTGTCCTCTACGAGCCAGAAAAGGGATTCTGTTTGTATGCTGGAGGTGTGAACACTTGCAAGAGAGCTATGAGGGTCGGGCTTCTCGGCTGCAAACTGAGGACCACATGGGGACCTGCCCATCTGCTAGACCCTGTCCAGGAGGTGTCCCTATTCCATCACCTTAAACTGCTTTGATTTAAAAAAAAAAAAAAAAAGAGACCATTTTGCCCATCATGTTCTCACAGGACTTGTGTCTCATTCTGGACACCCTGAGCCTGGAGGAACCCCAGGGGTACTTCGGGGTAGGTGAGCTTAAGTAAGGATGCCCTGCTGGAGAAAGCGAAGCCGTTGGCAATCAAAGAGGCGGGTCCCTTAACTCCAGGCAGACACAGCGGGGTAGGGGCCTGGCCTCTGCCTGGTGGAGGACGCCCCTGACCTGTTCGTCTGCACTTACAGGTCTGGTTCCAGAACCGAAGAGCCAAGTGGAGGAAGCGAGAGAAGTGCTGGGGCCGGAGCAGCGTCATGGCGGAGTACGGCCTCTACGGGGCCATGGTGCGCCATTCCATCCCCCTGCCGGAGTCCATCCTCAAGTCCGCCAAGGATGGCATCATGGACTCCTGCGCCCCGTGGCTGCTGGGTAAGAGCCTGCACTCTCCCTGGGGCCCTGCCCCCGTGGTGAGGGGAGCGGGCTCCCTGGAGGAGGGGACAGAGCCCTGGAGCAGGGACGCCTGGCCACAACAGCCTGGCGGGAAAGAGGCCCTCCAGAGCCGGTCTCCCGGTCTCCCTTGGGGGGCTCAGAGGGCAGGCTGCGCCCAGGGCTTGGTGTCTGTCCCTCACACCCACCTACTGGGTGCCTAGGACTCTCATCCTGGACGGATCCCCCCTGTGAGTTCTTTTGTCCTGTGAGCAGGGGATGGCTATTGCCCCAGGGTGTGTATCCTCCTCTTCCCTTGGCTGGAGCTGGGGTTGTGGTGAATGAAACAGCCCCTCTTGGGGGTTGAGGGGACCTCTAGGTCCCTTTGGCCACCATTCTGGCTTTGCCCAAAGGACTTCTTCCCCCTAAATCTCTCCACCTGCCATCCTCCCCCATCTGCCATCTGGACCTGTGTCTGACAGCAGCGCCAGCTTATCTTGGAGTTCTGAGATCTGGAATCCCAAAAGGGAGGGCTCGGGAGCAAGTGCTGTGCTCAGGAAGGGACAGACAGGACTCCCGGGGGCCAGGTGCCCAGGGACTTGGCTGGGAGAAGCCCTCTGCCGGCCTGGTGCCCCGCTGCTGCTCCGCAGCCTCATCCCCGGCCCCCCTCCCGCTGCCCCGGCCCCGACCCCGACCCCTGGGACTCGCGTGACTGCGGTGTATGAAGTAAGGCTTTCTGCTCGTCCTTAATTCTGGCCTCTCTCTATCTTTGCCGTTTTCAGTTCAAGATGGCTTTCCCAGGCGCTTTTCTAAACCCGAATACCAACAATTCTTTTTAGGGATGCACAAAAAGTCGCTGGAGGCGGCAGCCGAGTCGGGGAGGAAGCCCGAGGCGGAGCGTCAGGCCCTGCCCAAGCTCGACAAGATAGAGCCGGAGGAGCGGGGTCCCGACGCCCCGGCCGCCATGTCCCAGGAGGAACTGAGGGAGAACAGCATCGCCGCGCTCCGAGCCAGAGCGCAGGAGCACAGCACCAAAGTGCTGGGGACTGTGTCCGGGCCCGACAGCCTGGCCCGGAACGGCGAGGAGCCGGAGCGGGAGGAGGCCCCGGACGAAGACAGGCCAGCGGAGAAGCTGAGTCCGCCGCAGCTCGAGGACATGGCGTAGGCAAGGGCGCGCAGACCCCGGAGCCCCAGGACTCTGCTCGGCTCTGCTCGGGGCCTGTGGTGCTGGGAGGTGTTCTCAGAGGCGGGGCCCAGGCCTGCTCTCTGCCACCCTCCCCCACCCCACAGGCCCTCTGTGACCCCCAGGGGACTTCAGGCACAACTCAGTCCTGGCTGAGGCTTTGGGCCACGCTGAGACATCCCTACCTAGTCCTGACCTGGCCAGCACCCTCCTCCTCCAACTAACAGACCTGCCTCAGAAGCCTTCTTGCCGCCCCAGACCACCCCCCCAAGCTGCTTTCAACTCAATCCTTTGGCGGCTCTCCGTGTCCGAATCCACCCCTTACTCTCTGTTCTCTTGCTCAATAGCGCCCTCCTTCCCAGCGCCACACCCCCTGTGGACTGTGCTCTGCCCAGACCCAAAGACCGCTGCTGCAAACACACTGGCCGCCACAGCGGCGACACGGATGGAGGACCTGCACTCCAGTGCCGGTGTCCTGAGCGCCCCAGCCCCCAGCGAAACTCTGCTCCCCTGCCTGCTCCTTCCTCAGCGTGGGTGATGTGCTGTCCTGAAGGCCCAGGCACAACCCCTGCCGGCCCCCGGCGCTGGGGCCCAGATTCCAGATTCAACTTGGAAAGTCTCAGCCTGGGCCCCTCGGCCAGCCTTCAAGTCCTGCCCTCCACAGTCAGACTCGGGAACCCACCCTCCACACCCAGCCGGTCCCACCGTTCCTCCCCACACAGGTGCCAGTGCCGCAGGGGGCAGTGTACAGTTCCTGCAGTGAGGCCAGGGTCTGCCCTGCAGCCAGGGGGCACCTCTCACAGCTGCTGTGACTCACTGCACCTTTGGGAGGCCAAATCCTCCACCCAGGGCCCTTGGGTGTGTGTTTCTGGAGCACCCTGACTGCCCCCTCCACCCCCAGTATGCTGCCTGTGACCCTGACTTGCTGTGCAAGGCATCCTTCCCCTAAAGATTCTTGCAAATCACTGGTTCGCATGTGCCCTGCCTTGGAGCAACCCAATCAAGCTGTAAAATGAACACATAGGAAACCACAGATCTTGACTCAACTTGATCCAGGCCATTCCTGGAGGGGGCCTGGGGCTATAAATAGCCGTCACAGTTGATCACAAGAAGAGTATGAGAAAAGGCTAGAAGGAGAGCAAGGGAGGAGCCAGTGTTAGACCCAAACTAAGCTACAGGCACACATACCTTCCCGCTGGGTGTGAGCCGTGGTGCATGTTCTCTAGAGTCAGACAGTGATGGGGTAGGAACAGGGGACGGGGCTTCTTCCTGTCTGCTGATGGGAGGACCTGTCCATACTGATGGCCTCTCTGCAGCTGCCCCTTCCACCCCCAGGCCAGGCACATGTCCCCCTCACCCCCATGGCATTTTCCTCTACTATCCCACCCACCCTTGCAGGGGATCCCTTGCAAGAGAAAGGCCTGAGTCAGTGAGCTGGGATTTTAATTCCATATCAAAAGTTGATTTCTTCTTCATTCTGTCCATGGACCTTCCCCCCAGTTCTTCCTGTCTTTGTGTCCCATTGGTTTGAAGTGTTAGACTGTAGTCCCTGGTGTGTAAATAATGTACATAGAATCAGAAGAAAGAAACTTGATATTGAAGTGTTTGAAATATGGAACTGTAATAACTTTTAGGTATTCGAAACCCGTGATTTCTGTGCCATTTTCTGTAAAGATACAAGTAAGAATAAAATTGATGTAAAAACGGCAGAGAAGGGATCTAGGAGTCCTCTGTGGTGAGCATAGTGTGTGTTTGTGTGTATGGGTAGCATAAAAAGTAAATCCATGAAGTCATGTTTAGGTCAAAATTACTAGATTCCTATTTTAAAATTATTCCAACTGTAGAGACACAGTGGTCTGCCTTTCTCCACTAAGCTGATGTCACTATTTGTCACTGCAATATGGAACCCTCTTCCATTACAGGCATAACTGAGATATCCCAGCCAGTGAGCCCCTAAGTTATTACCTGTGACTCCTTCCTGCTCCCCACACAACAAATTACATTGACCTTTCCCTCTCGTCCTTACTTATAAACAACCCTAGTTCCTTCGCATCTCAGGTGAAGCCCACAGCCCACCTTGGCCCCCGAGAGTACTGACGCCCTGCCTTTTGTGTACACATGTGCACTCGAATATCTCACCTACAGCTCAAACACAGCAACAAATGGAAAAGGCAAAGTCATCTGGAACTGAAAGTCAGATAAACCTATGCTAAATCCCTGGGAAAGAGGAGAATAAACAAGAGAAACAGCATAAGGGAGACCCCCTGAGATCGCTTGAGGACAGCTGCGCCCCGCTGACTTGATGATGTGTTGGGTGGAATTACAAGATGAAAGAGCAGACGGAATGGACTTACACAGCTTATAGTTGAGCTTTTGGCTCAAGAAATCTCATAAGATTGTTTCCAATTAGCTCAGATATGGAACTTGTTGTCAGAAGAGGTTTTTCTGGCAGCCGGTCATGAAACGAGAATGACAGGGGGTCAGTGGTCCCTGTACCCCAGACTGGGCCCAGGTACAACCCTCCTGGACCCAGAGCCTGGGGGATACACGTGGGAGATCTCCGACTTCTATGTGCTGAAGGGAAAGGCCCAAGAGCCTGCCTTCAAGTTCTGCCCACACAGGGCTCCCCCAGGCCACCCCTGAGCATGTTGGGACCCTGCAGGACTCACTGTCACCCCCGGCTCTAGGAATGCCTTGCGCTCACCCTGCTCACCCCCAACACTCCAGCAAATGCACAGCCTCTCATCTTTCATGTCCCTTCCTACCTGGAGCCTTCCTGACTCTCCAGGCAGAGTCTACACCCTCTGTTCTCTCATATAGCACATGACACGTTCCTCCATTTCTGCACTCTATGCATTGTGTTGTAACTTTTTATTTACAAGTTTATCTTCCCCACAAGACTGATTTCTTCAAGGGTGGCGATGGTATCTTATTCATCTTTTATCCCCAGGACCCATCAAAGAGTCACTCAAGCCACTGTTGAATGAATAAATGAATGAATGTTCTTTCTCTAACTCATCCATTTATTTAACAATTTCAAACATTTATTGAGCATCTACTGTGTACCAGGTAGTGGGGCAAGGCACTGGGGACAGAGTGGTGGGCACAGCAGTCCTATTTGGGGAAGTAAGATACAAAATTGCAAGTGTCCTAAGGCCTCAGAGGCTCTAGATGAGGGACCATGAAAGCATATCCATGGGACTTGGGTCAAGGTGTTTAACCTCTGAGCCTCTCCTGTGTTCTAAATTGAAATAATAACCCTGGGTCCTTCAGTCTCGTACTGTTGAGAGGAAGAAGCAAGGACAATGGCAAAGGTACCACATGAGCAGGAGAGAAAGGTGGCCACACCATGCGGCCTCCTCGAGCTGGGGGGCCGGCTGGCGGGAGAGGGGCTGGCAGCTGCCCCGCCCTCAGTTAGATCTCAGGGACAAGTGGGACACTCAGAGGCTTGGGAGCTGCCAGAAATCCTCCTGGATGATCAACCCAGGGGATTTACCCCGGGAAGAGGCATGCAGCTCTCTGCAAAGGGACATACACATAGGCCTCCGGGCAATCAACGAGGGGAGAGGCTGTGATGCCACAAGGGAAAAACAGGACAGGGAAGGAAGGGCCTGAACAGCCGGGGCCCTAGGGTGCAGAACTAAGAGAAACCCTGCTAGGTGCTGACTGCACCCCAGGAGGGCCTTCTGCCAGAGGATCCTGTGGAGAATGAAAGGGAAATTTTATTCCAGGCTCCGCAGGCCCAACGGGCTGCCGATAGATGGCTGCGTACACCAAGAATAGGCAGAGAGTGATAAAAGGACATGAGGGACTGATTTTTTAAATCAATTAATTAAGTAATTGATCGATTTTTGGCTGCGTTGGGCTCCGTTGCTGTGCGTGGGCTTTCTCTAGTTGTAGCGAGCAGGGGCTACTCTTCGCTGAGGTGCGCAGGCTTTTCATTGCAGTGGCTTCTCTTGTTGCGGAGCACGGGCTCTAGGAACGTGGGCTTCAGTAGTTGTGGCACGTGGGCTCAGTAGCTGTGGCTTGCGGGCTCTAGAGCGCAGGCTCAGTAGTTGTGGTGCACGGGCTTAGTTGCTCTGCAACATGTGGGATCTTCCCGGACCAGGGCTCAAACCCGTGTCCCCTGCATTGGCAAGCGGATTCTTAACCACTGCGCCCCCAGGGAAGTCCATCCAGGGCAGTTTTTACCTTCTCAGAAGTAGAAACAAATGATGAAAAGCCAATTCCGGGCTCAGCCAACAAAGCTTTGCAGTTGAGATGATGACACAAGAATTAAATAGATGGATACATTTATGAACAGGAGAATATTAAGTGCTGAGCTGAATGGCAACAGATACAGGAGCGTGTTTGGAGGACAAGAGCGTCCTCTAACAAGAATGCCTCCCTGGGCTTCCCTGGTGGCGCAGTGGTTGAGAGTCCGCCTGCCGATGCAGGGGACGCGGGTTCGTGCCCTCGTCCGGGAAGGTCCCACATGCCGCGGAGCGGCTGGGCCCGTGAGCCACGGCCGCTGAGCCTGAGCGTCTGGAGCCTGTGCTCCGCAACGGGAGAGGCCCGCATACTGCAAAAAAAAAAAAAAAAAAAAAAAAAGAGTGCCTCCCTCTGCTCCTTCATATGTTTGTCTTCCGCAGTGCCTTCTGTTCAGACGTCAGTCCACCTGTGGTTTCCATGCAAGAGGAGCAAGAACCCAGGAAGCTGGGGCAGGCAGTGCAAAAGGTGGGAACAGACTCAGGAGCCAGGCAGATGGCCCTCCTTCATCTGGGGACCACTCCTGTCTGAGCGCAAGGCTCCATCGCCCAGACATGACAGTTCCTGATGAGAAGAGTGTAACCTGAAAATAGGGAGAACATCAAAGTGGATCTGGAAGACCTGCTTTTAGGTGCAGACTCCGCTACTTTCTTAACTTCCTCAAGCAGTGGTACATTCATCTACACGACTGCAACCGTGACAGCTCCTCACAGGGATGCCGTGAAGAGCCAAGGAAATGATGAGATGGTTTGCACTAAACTCTAT